TTCGAGCTGATGGTGTGCACTGGGCATATCGGTGGAAGAGGGGTAGGAGGAGTGGGTAGAGCTGAACATCGATTCAGGGAAGACGAGTTGATGGAAGAGCTACAAATTGGGGAACCTCCAAGATCCGCGAACTAGCCACGCGCGGTAGAGCATGGCTAAGAGAGTGCGTCATTCCGATTGTCCCACTAGGACAATAGTCACAGAAGACAATCCGCTGCCAGATGGCTGGCAAGCTTGCGAGGCGTCTATGTAGTCAAGACAAAGAGGTTAACACCGTCCCGCACGAGTCATATCAAGATGACTTGGAGAAATGGCCTACCTGGCTGGGTAAGGCACATGCAAGGAGGACCGGGGAGTCCTCTTCTAAGAGTGGCGTTGAGCCAGGTCTCTTACCACAGTCAAAAGATATCCATATTGCGATGTTACAATACCAAAGAGAAAGCAGTCTGAGCTGCAGCGAATGCCTCTTGGTTTCTGTAAATGGCTTCAGAGGCGTTGGTCAGCTCTGCAGACAGCGGAGAATGCGAGACAGAAGCGCACCGCGAGCTCCATTGTCATCTTAGCCACGGCACCTCGAGGGCTTGGCTAATCAAGCGAGCGCTTAGCAAATTCCATCGAGGAATAAGAGGTGCTCCGTTTCGCCACAGTCCCCATCCTCTCCAGGCTCTTCTCGCTCAACTACCACCGCGTCCCTCGCGCGCAGATATCAAACTTACCATTCACATCCGAATACACCTATCAAGATATGGACCACAAGGCCTTATCCAAGTTGACGCGCGCCGACGTGCAGAAGCTGTCCAAGGTAAGCCCGTCCGCCGTGGCTTAACCCTTGCGCCTGTGGCTGAACGTCGTGCCTCCACCCAACCCAGCGCGACGGCCTGAAGGCCAACGGGAAGACCGTCGACATGATCGACGCCTTGGTAGCGAAGCATCACCCGTTTCTTGTTCCATAGTACGTTCGCCAGCCTGTCCGCGGGGAGTGCGGGTAAGCTGACCGCCGCGTGATAGCATGGACGCGATCCCGCCCGCGACGGAGCAAGAGGCGATCTCGCGGAAGATGTTTCGTCGACAGGAAGTCATGCCCGTGGCGAACGCGTCGGCCGCGGTGCGTCAGAGCCCGCGCAGAACCGCGAAAGTCCAGGCCCCATTCGCGAGCACGAGCAAGGCGCGCGACAGCGGTTCAGCGAAGCGGGGCGCTGCGAGCCGTAGCGTAGGCCAACTTCCAGAAGAGGGGCCATCCTCCCCGCGCGCAGAGGTCCTAGTCGAGAGTAGCATTAGCAGAGCTGGGCCCAGCGGGCTTAGCAGGAAGCTTACTATCGATGCCAGTGAGCATTTCGCCACGACTACTGCCATAGATCGCAAGTCCACAAAGGCCGACAAACAGAACGCGAGTGGTGAGTGTCCTGTCAGAGCATCACATTATGCTGCTGATACGCCGCCAGTTCAACGCCAGGCGATTTATAGCCCTCAGCCGTCGCCCATGAGCGTACAAAGTTCGAGTACTGGTATGTCGCACATCTAGAACGTCTATAAGTTTTGATTGGCATTTGAAATAGCAGGAAGCCCGCAGGCATATCACTCACCTTGGAAGCAAGGCAAGGTGTATGAACTCGGTATGAACGCTATTGTCTATCTGCAGAAAATACGTCAGTCGCTGATTTTCTGTATGTGGCACAGGACGAGAAGAGTCGTTGTCGCAGTTCGGCCTGAAGCCTGTAAAGGCTTGGCAGCCTCTTCGTGCAACCCAAAGCACAGGTAAGTCCCTTTGAATATCGGGGACCTTGAATACCACTCACTCATGAGGTACCAGGTCCATCCGTCAACGAGGCAGTGATCTCCTCGCCCCGGCGCGAGCACCACCCCTCCGCGGAAGGCCGACGCTCGGAATCGCCTTCATTGGCCACGGAAACCCTATCGAGCAACCCAGCCGCGGGGGCTGCTCACCAACCTACAGTCACTGAGTTACGAGCCGCCCTCGCGAGTATCGAGTCTTTGGCAGACGGGAGCGCACATGCTCAGAAGATTTGGGAGCTGAGCACTCTCGTCGACACTGTGGAGCAGCGCGTCTATAGGATGCAACAGAAGGCACGTAGGGTCCAGAAGCTGCGAATCGCGTTGGAGGAACACTTCTTCGCAAAGATCAAGGCAGACGGGAGACTGGCGGATGGATCCTGGACGCGGCCGGACTCGCCTGAGGATGAGGAGGAAATGGCGGAAGTGGAGTAGCTGATCTCCAGGGAGGTCGACCCGTCCGACCTCCTGGAGTCCTCGGACGAGTCTAGCGGGGAGGACAATCGCTCGTACGTTCCTTGATATTCTTGCGACATGAGAAATATGCTTACCTGTACTAGTAGGAACCCCATGTACACAAACGCCGCGCGGATGATATGGGTGTGTCAGAGTCGTCCCCGGCCAAGCGCCGTCGGGGGTTATTATAGGGCATTGATCCTTTCTTGCTGAGGATGTCGGCGTTGTATACTCTATTCGATCACTTCGAGCGTCCTGAAAACGGCTACGCCCGCCGTTTTACCTACAATATTCCTGAGAGACCTAAGATGAAAGATGCGACGGCTGGGGGTGCATGATGCAAGAAAGAGGCATGCAGAGGCGCCCAACCCCTTGACTCTCGACGTCGACCTGCGCGACGTCCTCGACGTTCTGGTTATGACCGCCAACGGCTTCCCTCTCTCAATTGTGCCAGCACAGTACGCCGTGGCGACACCTTCAAGCTGCTCCTACCTTCAAGCTGCACCAGACGTGCAGCACACGCTACTTCTGCGGACGCGACCAATCACCAAAAGCTGACGTTATCTATATGCGGACCTTTCGGCCTCCAAGCTCAAGCATCTAAAGGATGTACAAGTACAACAAAATACAGCCCACGCGCTCCTAGGCCTCAGAATACGACGTTGGGTTCCGCATCCAACTCCTAAGACTTGAAGCTCAAGCCCTCCATCTCCGCACTCGCTTCTTCGGGAGCTCGTCGACATCTTCAGGGCGGCTTCGTGCGTTTTTGACTTGGGCCTCCGGTCTAGGAACGAAAGGTGAGTATATGTCCTTGATTTGCGGCCGGGCATACATACCGTGCGCCGCCAGACTCCTCCACGTTGTCCGTCTCCTCGCCGGCAGGCATCTCCCCGCTTTCCTGGTTCTCCGCCTCCTCGCTCTCCTCGCTCTCGGGTCTCTCCCAGGTCCCGTTAGTCAGCCGTGGGTCCTCCTTCATCTTCGCGAAGAAGTGTTTGCCCAGCGCGAGGCGCATCCTCTGGACCCTCTGGATCTTCTCCCGAACCCTCGCTTCGCGGTCCTCGACAACACCCACAAGGATTCCGAGTTCGCGAAGCTGATTCCGCGTATTTGCATTCTCCAACACGAGAGGCTCGATGTTTTCCAGCGCTGCACGAAGGATCGCGACGGTTGGGCAGCGGACCTCCGGGCGTGGCGCGGGTGGCTGCGCTGCGTCCCAGGCCGTCTGAGTGCCTGTCTCCGAGACTTGCGAGGGGCTGGGCGACCCTGCAACTTTGGCTGGCTTCGGGAGGACTGTCCGTTCCTGAGGGGACGGAACGGCGCGCGCTGACATCAAGACGTCAGACCTCTGGACTCCGGGTGACAGAACTGGCAACGTACCTGAGGCCTCCTTCGGGCTAATGCGCGGACACGCCGACACAGTCGCGTCTGCGCGTCTTGGGCTCGCACGCACGGTTGTCGGCGACTTGGCCGCGCTTCGTCTTGCTGAGACTGGGGCTTTCTGTGCTGCCGCCTGCTTCGGAGGAGCCTCAGGGTGGACTTCGACCACTGGTTTCTTGTTGCTGGGGGCCTTTGATTTCGTCTTGCCAGACGCAGCCGGGGGGTCTGGCTTTGGGTCCCCACTGCGGAGTGTTCAGCGACGCACGACGGGGAGCGGCCCAAGGAGTACGCACGTTGGGACTAGAAGAGGGTGGTGTTTCTTCACCAGCTCGTCGACGATATCGGCCGTCTTTCCGTTCGCCTTCACGCCATCGCGCTGTAGAGGCGGAACACGACGCGACCTTCAGCCACTGCGCGCGTGGATGGTTAGCCAGACCCACGTACCTTGGCTAGCTTTTGGAGTTCAGCGCGCTTGAGTTTCAACAGTGCGACCCTGTCCATGTCTTCAGGTAGAATAAGGTAGGTGTGGATTATATCTGCGAGTTCGAAGCGAGTGGCGTGCAGAGGAGGGCGGGTGGTGGCTGAGCGGAGGGAAGATGGGCGTGCCCAATTGTATGTGTGCGGGCCGGGGAACACAGCCGTTACTAGCGCTGGCTTTAGCCACTACGGTGCCACTCGCCCTTGTGCCCACTCAAAACAAGACAACCATGCGTGGTCAGTGCGCTTTACCATGGTTCCTTGATTTGTATTGATTTGACTGACAATCCGGTTGTAGCTCATGATCGACGACGCGCTTAGTTGACGATGACCATAAATAAACGACACATTCATCCTGTCCGTCCCACCTCGTAGTTCAAAACGGGATTGCACTCAAGCCATTGATTGCTGCGTTCGGGCACGTCGCTTTCGACGTAAATAGTCGGTCAGAGCGGCCTGTGAAGGTGCGTCTCGCATCTGCCTATTGGACCCCCGATAAATACTTGGGTTGCGGCGAAAATTCCCTTTCAGTTGAAGTCCCTTTTGTTACGCGGG